ATAGAGTTATACTACCTTGCAGCTTGCAATAGAACATTTAAAAAAAAAAAATCCAATCGAGTCCAACTTAATATAAAAAGCATTTAAGAACCTAGTTAAATTGGTACCCCAGTTAAGAAATTCTGTTTTTTCTCAAATTAAATTTACTGTTGTATTTCTCAATCGTGGTGACTTCCACAGTTAAATAGCAACTAAATAATTTCACATCCTCAAAATTATTATATTTATGACTGTGTATATGCACACAACTTGAATCCAACAGATTAAATTAATCAATTATTATTTCTCTTTCTTTGGTACTACTATTTTAAAGTTGAATAAATTGGGTACTTTAACCCACAAATATATTTTATTATTTTTATATTTCTTTAGTAGAGCATGTTCGTTAAAATTTAATATATTATATGTAGAGAGAGTAGCTGAAATAAAATAATAATAATACAAGTTAATTTAATAAAAAAGTATCACTGATATCTCCGATGCCATTGCTCATTGGTCATGTGTTGGCGGGCTGAATCCATTGATTATTAATTAAATCTAATTGGGGTGTGTTTATAAAAGCTTCATTTCATATTTTAATCATAATAAAGAGCAATAGCGGCAATAAAATTTCAGTATAGGACAAGTTGAACGAAGGGTGGTTCCCTCATATCATATATTTAAATCAAAGAGGAGTGTCGCAGCCAATAAAGAATTATGTGTCACAAATTTTCATTGCTTTTGCATTAGGATTATAACTTTCTCAAGCAATGTATTTATATAATATCTATAGTATAGTATTTGGGGAAGGATAATGTTTTTTTAATGGAGAAAGATAATATACGTTTTGATTTATCGTTCTTATATTGAAATAATACCTTCTTCTCTTGTCGAAAGGTGTAGAGATCCACGCATCAGGAACATAAATAAAAAAATGATAGAAAAGAATGCGTATTCCCAAGGTCTTCCAACAAGAATAATGGAATCATCGCACGATGGAACATTTTTTAATTAATTTCATATTTGTGTATATAATAATTGGAGTATTTAAAATTACTTTACATTCACCCTTTTTGTTAAAAAAAAAAAACAGTTTTAACTGTATTTTTAGTTTAAATTTAAATTCAGTTGCCTGTAATTTTAATTTTTTAAAATTTTGCTTCAGTTTTTTTTAATTTTGAAATTAACTGAATTTGATATTTTATTATTTTTTATTTTACTCTAAACCTTACTTTTTTTTATTATTAATGTTTAAAAGCTTTGTGGTAGATTTATAGCATAAATTATTTTTAAATATTTAAAAACGATAAAAATTTAATATATTTATAAAATAAGACATTTTAATTTAAAGAAATAATTAAAATGGTAGAGAATGATTAGAAATCCTTTAAATTGATCAAGTATGAATAATTGATTAAGATATGGTAAAATTTATATTAAATAAAAAAATATTTTATTAATGTTAAACCCTAAGACTGAAGTTAAACAGTTAATAATAGTAAAATTTTATTAAAAAAAATTATTTATTATATTTTTATAACTTTAATATAATAATTTTGTATTTTTTTTATAAAATTTTTTATTTGTGAATATTTAAACTCAGTATAAGATTGATGTTAACAAAATTTAATAAAAAAAATATACTTTTTTTTGTGACACTAAAGAATTTCTTAGAAAAATATAGAATCATAAGATGGATCTTCTAGTGTTAAAATAAGCACCCCAATTTGCATCAGCGTAAGCCTTTTAGATGGAAAACTTCAGGTTGTGGATAAGAACAAGTCTTGATCGGGAGATGACTTGAAGTACTTAAGTGAGCCATTTTGGGAGCAACCTTGAAAATTGACTTAGTTTATTCAATGCACAACATGCATTCATGAATCTAAAAGTGATCAAATATATTAGCCTTCAACGTTGAGAAGAATTAGTCAATGAATCTGCATTGGCAACGTCTCATTAATTGGAGATTTGAGCTCATTAGAAGACTAAACGGTTTGCAACTTAAAGCATTATATTCATGAACTGAGAGAGTGTAATTCTTGAGTTGGAATAAATCCGTGGCACGTAGTAATAAATTTTTAAACTGAGGACATATTTTAGTTGTTAATGACATTTAACTTGAACATTTGTTGTAGTATCAACTTGACCCAATCGATGACCGTAAAAGTTGGTCTTGCTACTATGTATTGTTCATCCGCATAGATTGTTAATGTTACGCATGTGAAGAGCCAGATTGAAGGGTAAACAAATAGCTGGATTTGGGAGTTTGATGCTCAACAATGCAATTAATTCAAGTTTTGTAAACCATAGGCCTGAGACTTGCCCCGATTCATAAATATAACTATTTAAATTACATACAATATATTCTGCCCCTCAACCTTGTAACCTAGCTAGCTAGGAGTTATTCCATGTAAAACTTTTTCAATTAAATCCCCATGAAAAAATATATATTGGAGAATGTCAACCATAAATATTTTTTTATGTTAAAAATAATTCCATAAATGCGAGTTTTGCAATGAATCTAAATGTACTAAGGATGTCAATATTAACTTATTGGGTGTAATCCTCCACAATCGATTTAGCTTTTAGGCTATCAATAATACCATTTGTTTTTTCTTTTAATCTTAATTTTGTAAATCCTTCAACAAACAACAATATATATTTTCGATGGTTTAGGAAAACAATGCTCAATGAATAATTTATAAAAAATCTTTTATAAACTATTTTTAATTCATTTCAATAAAATTTCTCATTTGTTTTTTTTTTCCTTGTTTATGGAGAGGAGAAAAATAAGAATGAATAAGAAAAGTGTTAGATATTGAGGAATTGAAATAGGAATGGACGAGAATAGGTTTTATTCAAATTGACTTGATGGGCTAAAGCCTGAAGCCCTTGTTCTCTTTCTAGATTATAATAATGAACGTTGCCCTTTCTTCGGTTGAAACAATCAAAAAAAAATATTCCTGGTAACTGATAAAAGGCAAAAAGAAAACATCAAAGTTTAAATTTCACTGCACGCTACCCCTCTTAACCACAGTTCTTACTTAAAACCCTAAAAGCATCCAATCAACTTACAATTATTTTATTAGTTTAATACAATGAATCATTGACGTGTGATAATAATATACGTTAGCTCCAAATACAGGGCGGGTACTGAACCATTATACATTTGTAATCTTGAATTCAAAAGAAATGATTATGGTTAGAGCCGTGGTGTCTATCACGATTCTGTTTCCGAATTAGAAATTCAACACTCAACCGTGGAAATGAGAACAAGGGTATGCTTCATTCAGTGCTTTAAAGAGTAAGACAATCCATTTTTTGCATAATTAAAGTTTTACGTTATCCAGTCCAATTGAATTCATAGTCTCATCACTTGCTGAAAGTGGAAATCATGCATCAATGAAAAGGAAACTAACTTCAGTTCTCAAAGCAACTCCATGATGGTCTCATTAATTGAATAAAGAAATTGACAAAAACGATTTGTAATATTAACAAAATAGGCAGAATAATTTCAAGTGCCAGATATTTTGGCTTAAATGTAAAGATATTAATTAGATGTGGAATGGTGTTTGAAAAGATATTAACAGATGTACACGTAACAGCAACCTCTGGCACACTATTTTGGGCCCAAATACCTCCACAGGCAGTGGCAAGATCTTAGGCATCACTGTAGAGGTTACAGTGGCCCGTCACTACCACCCTCTCTCAAGTGTCCCTCAGTAACGCTAACCTAACTTGTCGCCATTATTGAATTAAATTTAATATCTGTATATTTAACAACTAACAATTTGAGGTTACTCGATATAATAATTTTCTAAGTCTTGTTAGAGCTCCAATTAAAAAAATTTAAAAACAATATTTTTTAATTTTTAATCGATGTTGTAGGACAATAATTAGCATTTTCTAAATTTTATTATAAGTAATATAAAAATCTATCGACGTACGGGCTTGATTGCGCTTCGCTCGTGACCCAATTTCTTTTATTTATTATTATTTTATTTTTTAAAACTGTTTCACACTGAAGATCTTATGAATATGGATTTTAAATTGAGAAATAAAATTAAATAACTACGTTTATGAGTTGGCTTGGAGAGACAAGGTAGTTGGTTGGCGGTGCCACGTTGTTTTATTGTATTGAAAACCATTTCAAATTCTCTATGGGTGACTGATGTGGCCCAAAAGTATATAAATAAATTACTTTCTTATATTTTAAATTAAAGTTTTTTTTCTGACAAAAAACATATCTGTATTAAAGTATTCAAAGATAAAGTTTATGCATAAATAATATTATATAATACTGAATAATATAAAAATTGTTTAAAGCATGTAATTAATTGATTAATTTATTCAATATAAATAAAATAGTTATATCGGAAATAAAAAAAGAAATAGTGTATGTTTGAGTGGAAGCAAAGGTCCGTCTGAAGCAGTGCCAGCCGAGCACTATCATTATTCTTCTTGTGTGTACTGTACCGAGATTTTTATTAAATTTAATAATTGAAATATATTTAATTTCTACCGTGGCAGTGGCACAAGATATTTTTTACGCCTTCCAACTAATAGACAATTGACACGTATTTTGTGCCCATCCTACCCCGCCGCAAGCCAGCCACAAAAAAATAGGCAACTCATGCGTTTTCGCTGCACGCGCCACTCAAACGAGTGTTGCGTTGAATTACTTAATTTCAACATGAAATCGAAATAATAAAAAAAAGTGACACATGGCGAAGTGCGCGTTGCTGATATCATATTCCACCAGACAAGGACGTCTGTGCCATGTAGGCACCGCAAGAACCGAAGCCCGTGACCGTCCGATCTCAATCATCCAACGGCCAAGATCGAAAGAACAGCATCATCGCGAAATCCTAGCCGCCCGCTACTGCTCCAGAGGGTGAAAGTGAAGCGCTAATGTTTTTTCTCTCTCTCTCTTTATATATAAAAATAAAAAAGGAAAGATAAGATGAGCTGATAATAATATTAAATTAAATAATAATATAATAAAAAAAAGGAGAGAAAAAGATGGGGAAGTGAAGTTTGTTGAGAAGGAAAAGCAAAGTGATTGAAAAGCGAAAAGAAAGGAAGAAGGGAAGTGGGAGCATTTGTTTTGTTGTGCAGAAAACAGCACCACTCCTTTCGGTGTCAAAGGAATCCGAGCCTTTAGCCGCCGCTGGTGCTGTGATTCCGGTGACGCATCCAATTCTCTCGCATAATTTACGTACTTATTTTTCGCCGATTTTGGTTACATGAAATCCCAAACTCAAAATGGACCGAACCAGAAGATCATCCTCATCCATGCCTCCCAATGCCTTCCCTAGACGCCGTCACCCTACTATTTCTCTCCGAGGCTCTTTTCGTACGATTTTTTTTTTCCTTTTCATTTTCCCTTAATTTTCATCATGTTTTATCTTATTTGCGTTTGTTTGACAGAGGAAGGAGCGGTGGAGTTGCAAGAGACGGTGAGGTTAAAGGCCAATAAGAGGGATAGGGATTGGTCAAAGAGGAAGAAAGGCTCTAACTCCCACAGTACCGAAGAAGAGAGTGTGGGAAATGAAAGCCACGAAATTCAAGACTCGCGCGTGCTTTCTCCCAATACTGCTTCGTCCGCATCCGATCAAAACCGTCGGGGGAGGACCTCTACTTCCTCTCCCTTACGGCCGTGGAACATAACCGATGAAGTAATCGGTGCCACTGTCCCAAGGAGGACTCGTTCAGGTGCCAACAGAAACTGCATATTTAGAATTCCCTCGTTTTTGTTGTCTCCTTCTTTCTCCCTGATTTTTGTTTTTCTGCAGTTTCTGTGAAAAGGCCGCATCACCATTTGGTCGAAGAACAGAGTGCTGAAGCTCCATCGCCTTCCTCTTCTAATGTTTCTCCTCCCAAGAAGATGGTCTTAGTTACCTTCGGTTCCTCTTCTCATTTGTTTTTTCTTTTCGATGTTTCTCTCCCGAAAAAGAAAATGAGCCAATGAGTTTTGTTGCAGAAATCGATTGGGATTCCGCAGAGCGCTACCCAGGAAGACATCGAGATTGAGATAGCAGAGCTTCTCTACGGTTTAAGAACTTCCCAGAACCACGACTTTTCTTCTTCGCAAAAGCTAGAAGCAAGCGATTCGCGTCCTCCGGGGAGCGCTACTTCTTCGTCTTACCCTTCCCTTGATGCTGGTGGGTTTACTTTTCGGATCAGATCGTGGAATTTCTCTCATGTATTTTATGGCTTCCCTTTCTCTTTTTTTCTGATCCTTTTTCTGTTGGCATTTTTGTTTACCAGAGAAGAAGAGGGTGGAAGAGTACAGTTTTTCCACTCTAGCACCGAACAGTTCAACTGCCGAGTCGGTCAGAATCGAAAGCGAGCAACCTGCGAAAACGGAGAAAACTTCGCCCGAATCACCTAGGATGTCGGGTTGTCGTGGAATTGAGTCATCTAAGGGGCCGAAAGAGGGCATTGAGGGACTCAATTTGAATTTGGATGGTGGATGTGGCGATACTGCAGATGGAAGATCAGAATCCAAGTTGGGTGTTGATAAACACGATTCTGCTTCTACAAGAGTGTTAGTGTTTTAAAAAAACAAGAAAACTGCTTTGTCTTCTCTTGTTATTTGATTTACTTATTGGGGTGACCCTTTTTTCTTGTTGCTGAATTTTACTAGGATGTCTGTTGTTTCCGGGGGCAACGGCCAGCACAAGTTTGAGATTGATCTGATGGTGAGGATCCTTCTTCCTTGCATTTCTCTTGGTTTCTGCTGTCAAATCTCTAAAGAATAATTCCTTTTCCAATTATAGGCTCTTCCGCCTATGACCTTATCTCCTGAAAGGGATAGCTTTTCGATGGGTGAAGATGGTGTCAAGGTAGAAAGTATCGTTGACCAAGACAAAACTCTGGGAGGAATTGAGGAGGTGGAGATAAAAGATTTGGATCAGCTGAATAAACATAATGACCTAGCAATGAACCATGAATTGAATAGGAAGGATAGGAATAAGGAACAACCTACCACTACATCGACAAATCCCAACGTGGAGAAAACTGGTAACTTGACATTTTTTTTTCTTCCATTACTTTTGTGGATAGAATTAATTATTCAGTACCACCTGCCAATTCTGCTTTTGGCTCATTTTTTGAATAGAGGTCTCTGACGCTTCTTCTTTACTTCTTCAGTTCAATCTAGTTCAATGCCTTTGTCAACAGCTGTATCAGAAAGGCCTAGCAGTCTCTCTTCTCTTGGGTACCAGAGCAGCGTTTATATCCTCTGGATTTTTTTTTTCATTTTAATCTATATCTGATTTTACTTAATGTTTGGTCATGTGAATATTGTGAATTTGCTTCGCTAAGACCCGTAACTATGATTGGCAGATACATGCCGCCCTTGGACGCAGTGGTGAAGACGGATATAACCACAAGATCGTCAACAGCCCCACAGGTAATGTAATTTCTCACTAAACTGGTTTTTGTTGCTCTTCTTTAACTCCTTTATTCTCACCAGTGTCAATCTTCTTCAATCCTGCGTATAATATGGATCTGTATCATGAATATTTCCTCCATAATTTGCACTTGCAGCATGCAAATTTTGTTGTCTCACAACCTCGACCGAAGAGATGTGCAACCCATCATTACATTGCTCGTAACATCTTTGTGCACCAGCAGTGTGCAATGGTCAATACCTTTTTCCCATTAACTATGGGCTCCGGTCCTGTGTGTGACGCAAAGCACAACAATGCCAATCAACTGCACTCTGCTGAAAGTGTGGTTGTCGGGAAACAATCTCATAAACACTCGCCAGGCCCAAACCAAAATGCTGCACAAGAGAAAGGATGGGCTGCGACAAGTGATTGTAGTCTTGCTGCAGTTAGAAGTTCTGGTCCTGCCAACCCAATGGATTCAACACAAATGAAGCGGCTAGTGCTTCACCAAGGTCCACATTCAGGGTCTGCTAATGTAGTGGTATGATCCTGTCGTCTAATAGCTTCTATACAGTTCAGTAATAGGATGCCACCTATTTTTTTTTATTCCATTCATGAATATTATTTTGGAAAGTCATTTGCTTTAATTTTAAATGTAGCATGGTCCTGCTTTCCTCTTTCCTCTGGGTCAGCATCAAGCATCCGTAATAACAGGTACTAGTCAGGCAGGTGGTGTGAGCTCCACCAGCAGTGCTTCCTCATCTAACAAATTCCACAGTGCACCTGGATCGGCTGGTACCTCAACAATGCCTGCAGTTGCTGCTGCAATGAGCTTTAGCTACCCAAATTTGTCAGCCAATGATGCTCCATATATGAGAGTAGTTCAAAATAGTGGGTATCCGTTCTCATTTTCAACTCATCTTGAAGCATCTGCTGCTATCAGAGGTGCAAGCCCTGCACAATCACCGCCTATGCTCAATGCGCCTTTGTACTCTTCTCATATGTTTCCCCCTCTTCAGTATCCACAGCAGCATCCGCACTCCCAACCACTGGTACAACCAAGTTATCTTAATGCAAGCACTTCAAGTGCTTCATCATCATCTCATAAGCAGTCACAGGGAACACAAGTTAACAGCAACAGTGTTCTGACATCCACGACTATGCAACTACAGCAGTCACAAAAGCATCACACCTCCCTGTCTCATCCTCGCAAGCACGAGACTGGGATGGCTGGGGAAAATGCTACATCTGTCGCTAGTGGAACAGCTTACTCACAAAAGAAGGCATTTGGGCAGAACTTCACGATTCCAGTTCAGCCACTGAGCCATTCGTTCACGCCATCTACAACATCAGATAGTCTTGGTGGCAACAGTGGAAATTTTGGTGACAAGCAGCAACAGCAACAGGCTTTGAAGGGGGGAGTTGAGCAAATACCATCTCAAGCATTTGCATTATCATTTGCTGCTTATAATGGGACCAGTCTTCCTTCAAATCTTAACTTCTCAACCATGACACCAAATCCAGTGATATTTCAAAGCCTGCCTGATATTGCATGGCCAGGATATCAAGCTGCAAGTACATCTCATACGACCCAGCAGAAGATGTATTCTATTACCGAAGGGAAGAGTGGAGGGAATTCTTCCCACCGAGATGATGAAAAGAAAGCCACTTCTGGGAAGCCGTCAACCAATGGACCAATGACCCTTGTTTTTGACAATTCATCCAACAATCTTAACTTCGTTTCATCTCCTATGACTGGAAACTGGCCTAGTCGTTCCATCACTTCAACTGCAACAACCACAAGTTTTCCTCTTTCTAGTATAGTTTCAACTTCTCAACCGCCACCACAGGTGCTTCATCTTCAGCAGCAACCTGCTGTGGCTACTCGATATAAAGCATCGTCAACTAATGCTGCTGCTACTACAAAAATTTTAAACTGTCCCCCGGTTTATTCACAAACTCAAACTCTGTCCAAAAATTCTAACCAAACGTCTCAGTCAAAGAATTTAGGAAGAACAACTCCGGATTCTCAGGTGCATAACAATATTATAACATCTACCACCCCAACTCAGCAGAGTTTTTCTCATGAACAAGGAAGAGCTATAAAGGGTCATACGCAAATATCTTTTGGGGGAAATTTCATATCTTCCTTGCCACTACAAGGGCAGCAGCTATTGAATAACAGCCAGCATCTGAGTACAACAGTTGCAGGGACTCCACCTAGTGTGGGCAACTTGACAAATTCCCAGGGGAGCAAAGTTAGTTCAGCAATGAACACTTCGCAGCTGCAACAAACTGAGAATTCATCTTCTGGGACTGGCCAAAAATCTTCCCCAGTTTGTGGGAGAAATGTCCCATCGATCTTGAGCTCGTGCCCCAGCCACCTATCTGAACTGAAGTATTAGAAATCAATCAGTGCACTCCATCAAAGACAAAAAAGGGAATTCTCTGCAATCCCACTCTTTTCAGCACATGGAGGTCCTTGCTGCTACTGGTTCTTTTTCAAAATGCACTGTGTTATCTTAATTGTGGTTAAGCACACCCGTGTATATATCTTGCAGTATAAAAAGCTCACGCCTCGAGCAATTTCCAATGAAGATTGAGGACAAACTTTTGGTTTGGCAGCTTATGTGATTATATTCCTTATGGGGAGGTACGGATGCTCTGGGGTGATGGAATATTTATTATCCTGCGGTTCTGTTTTTTTGTAGAGGTGACAATAATATAGGTTGAAGTGAAAGAGAAATCTGATGTGGGCACCCCAATCTGATGATAATATTCAACGTCGTGACAGAACAGGTGCCGCCACTTTTGCTGGTGAGTGATGGATAATGAAAGGAAGTGGGGATACGTTGGGCCTACAATTTTGAAATCGAAGTAGGGATTACTATCTTATACTACTGACTAGACGCCTATTGCATGTTCACGTGGTCTTATTATTTGACGCGTTAGACGCAATTCTGACATGTAGATAAATCATATCATTATGTGTTTTTTTTGTCCCTATAGCAAGAAGTGTACTTCAAAAATAAAATCATTTTTTATAAAAAAAGTCTTTGGTTTTTGCTTTCCCTTTTGTTATCATGTTTTTGGTAGATTGGAGTGGCGGTGATTGGAAATTTGGAAGAATGGTAGCAACTAGCATGCCGGACCCAGAATTTCGGAAACAGTAATATCTATATATTTATAATTCCGGAATCGGGTTAGTAGTCTTTGGTTTCCGACTGTGGACTGATAAGTGGAAACCACGATGATTTTTGGGTTCTAAACCTCTGCAATTTCATTTTACTGTCGACCTGAAAAGGAAAATTCATTTTAAGAAATTGGCTTTTTAAAAAAATCTCTTTAACCCATTCATTAACTTTTAAAGGCGATTGAAGAGCTTATAAATTTGATATTAATTATGACACCTAATCTTTTAAGTATTTTCTGCTTGTCTCTTTATTTTAACGGATAAAATAATATTTTTTAGCTTTAATAATATTTCTGGTCTATTTATTATGATTAATGTAGGATTTTAGACCTCCGAATTTTTATTTAAATTTAGCGTCATAATTTCTTTACTTGTTACAATGAAGTTCTTTTATCATTTTATTTTCTGTGGCTCGTTTTTATTCTCAAATTTTTTGTCAATTGAATTATTTTAAACCCTCTTTTAGGTAAAATCGACCAACCAAAATATATTTTATCCAAAGAATAAAAAAAAAACTTTTTTAAAACTTTGATTTTACATTTAAAATCTTTAAAATTTTATAAAGTTTTAATTTCTGAACCTCTTAAAACCTCGCTGTTGGGTTTTAATTTCGTGCTGGGTTATTTTACAATGGGGTGTTGACCATGTTTTGCGGTGGGAATAACTTCAGCATTTTTTTAACGAACGGCGAGACATACAAGATGGAAATTATACTTTGCTATCAGATCTCGTCTCGTTACAATGATTTGTGCTTTTCTCTCGTTACTATGATGTTTATGTCAATAAGAATTTCAACAAATTAGAAATAGGGTGAAAATATGCAAACTTAGCGAAGCTAAGGCTGTGCTATTTATAAAAGAATAAAATTTTTGTAAAATATTATAAGTATTTTCAATATTATTCTTTAATTAATAATATTGGAGTTTTTCCTCATTAACATATAAAAATATAATAATATTAAATATAATATTTTGTTAAATAAAACTTTAATTTTAATGAATAAATAATACAAACGACGTCTAAAGAATAACCTAAGTTTTCTCCTTCGTAAAATAGGGGATGCAAGTGTCACAGCTACGACACAAGCTAGTATTTGCAATCACCTAACTACTGGTTAGATAAAAAAAAGCCTTAATGGGAGGGATAAAAAATTCTGTATTTTTATTTTTGGGTCAAAATATTCTTGAACAGAGGCATGATCATTGTGACTTGAGTAAAGTTTGGGCTTTAGGTCGGATAGGCTATACCTACTTTTGGACACCTAAATATTGGGTTTGCAATGCAGTTTGACCTAAACGGCAAATTGGATCTAAAAAGCACATTCTCATAACTTAATATTATTAACTCAGACAAAAAAAATTATTCGTATTAGTTATATTTAAAACTTTAATTTTATTCATTCTTGTAATTAATTTACTTTAATAATAATATTATTAATTATTTTATATAAATACTTGATTATGACAATTTAAATTAATATTAATTGATTGGTATCTATTAAACATAAATCGATCATTTTGACCCTTTTTTTTTTTTTTTTAAGTTTGGTGCTGAAAATAATAAGAGAAATTATTTGTCACATGTAAGTAGGGATATAAAAAATCAGGTTATTTGATAAGAGCTTATAATTTAACTTTTTTAAAGTTTAGTTCAATTTGATTTATTTAAGTAATAAGTTTAATTTAGACATTTTAAAAGATTTAATTAATTAGATATGTTAGGTTTGAACTTAAAAAAAATATTATTAGATCTATTATAATAATCTATTTAAAATTTATAATAATATATTAAATAATTTTATATAAAATTATAATATAATATTATATTAAATAAATTAAATTTTAAAATAAATAAAATTTTAAATTAAAAATTTTAATCTTTTTTATTAGAACTGAAAAGTATATTTAAAACATATCTTATAAGACAAAGAGTTATATTTGCTAGAATATTTTGTATTATTATTGTTTAATCTATCTTTTATAAATATATATGATTACATCTATTCTTAGCTCGTCTCATTCATCATTTTTTTTGTATATTTATTTAAATTATATATAATTTTCTTCTTTTTTTTTTTTACTTTTTTTCCTATTTTTATGTTAACAAAAAGTTTTCTCTAATTGAAAACAATAAAATAATTTTATTTACTCTTGTCGCACTTATACTTATAAATAATCAACTATAATTAAATTTAATTAATAATATATTTATAAATATTTTTAATGAACTATTAAAAATCTCAATATAAAATAAATCATTAAATATGCAAACTTTTAAGAAAGTAAGTTAAGCTTAATAAAAGTTTGTGATAAATAATAGGTTAGACTTAAAAAAAAAAAATTACAAGATGAAAAATAGTTAATACCATTATTAATGAGTGTTTCATGTTTTAATTGAAACAGAATTTTAAATATAAATATAGATATATAAAATACACTTTCTTTTCGTATGAAATACAAATATGTCACTAACCTTTTTTTATTATTATAAAATATATTATTTAGTCTATTTGACTTTATATTATTAAAAAAAATCTTTAAAAGTTTTTGAAATGTTTTTTAATTTAATATTCATGTATTATTATATTATTTTAACTTTTACTAATTTATTTTTTATCTTTAGTCTAAATTTTATTTGCATGACTATTTTTATGCTCCACCTTTCTTTTTGAAGGTACTGAAACAAGGTATTCCTGTACCTTTTTGTTAACAGTAAATTTTTTTAGTTTTTTTTTTTATTTGATATAAACCTTTAGAAACTTTAAAATAAAAATAAGCGTTTATTCTTCTTTAAAAATACATTAAACTTATTGAATTTCTTAAAAGTATAATAAAAAATAAATATAAATTGAATGATTTATTTATTTATTAATTTTTTTGAAAATTTAAATTTGTAGCCATTTTATTTATATATTTTTAATTAAGTATTAACACATTATGTAAGAATCTTTATTTTTTTAAAATATATTTTGTTATGATAGGTTTTGCAAAAATTAATAGGAATAGAAAATAAAAAAAATTGATAACTTAACACGTGCGACAATTTTATCTTTTAGAATTTATTCGTCACACATGATATATTCTAATAATATAAAAATTCTCTAGAATAAACCTAAGTGACAAGACTAGAGAAAAATCATACCTTATTAACATAGTATGTTATATTAAATGGATTTAACTATGATACCAAAACACTTTTTTTTTTTTATATTAATGGCCTATCAATCACATTATACTTTTCATTTTTTTTTATTATTTACGTTATTTGTTCTAATAGGTTATGCACTTACTGATAATTTATAAGTACTTTAAATATCATACTACATTGTATACAAATAGTCTTATTTGATACTCATACAGATGACTTTATTTCATTGAATCTATATTGTACTTTATAAAGTACACTACTCATGCTACAATCTGTCATACAAATCTGCAGTATGTATGTTCTTTCTCTTGCTGACTTTGGTCATGCATGTACTGGTCATCTGCTTCTTCCCGTTGGACATTCATTTGATGGTTTTTCTCCTCCGGTGAACCATTAAAGGAGGGAGTTCAGATGTGTTAGTGATGGTCGATATAGATTATCTGGTGGTGGCATAGATCTGCTTGTATCAGTAGAATTTATTCAAGTCATAACTTCAACATCTGACATGAAAAGTGGACTGAAAGATATATGTCGTGCAATATCACTATGTTGTATAGGACTGGGAGTAAGAAAAGAATTTGACATAAACTGATGACCAAGGCTTGCCATAAAATGATGGCTAGGGGTCATGCATGGTTGGCTAGGACCTGACAAAAACTGGTGCTGAGAAGGACTAGCCATGTACTGTTGTTAGCTGGGTCCTAACATGAAGTGGTGATTGGGGTATGTGGGTGGCAGGTGATATATGTAGTGTGAGGTATGTTGTACAATTGGATTTGCATCAGGTTTTACATCGTGTTGGGAGGTCGGCTGGTATATGCGCCTCATCACGGTACTGACATCTACTAGCACATGTATCTGCACACAAACGACGCATGAAAGAGCGTCTATTTGGAACATCATTAATGTGTGTTATGTCAGGTGTTGGGGGGCATGTAGTGGTACACTATCAGGTAAGTCCCTAAGCTCTGCATCCTGTGGGGCTCCATGCAACGACAAAAATCTATTAGGGACTGAAAAGTACCACTGAAAGTACTTGACAGAGGGACGATTATCATTAGTTAGAGGATATGGAACTCATCGGTCCCTACGTGGCTCCCATGCAGCATGCCATGCCACATAATAATCAGGCCACCATATATCTAGATCACATCTCCTATCTTTAGCGTGCAACTAACCAATATTTATTGGGCTGATTGGTATGTGTTGTGCTCTACCAAATTGTTAAATTACACAATTAACAGGGTACCACTCAATCACAGTAAATTGTATAAGAGTAGTCACAGATGTCCAAACATCAGCCTCATCATACACGAAGGGAGGTGTAATGTTCCTGACCTTATTGTTACGGTAGAGCGTCCACCTAAACTGAAATAATAAATAACAAATATTAGACCAAAAATATAATTATTTAAAACAGAATTTAGTAACATACACCCTGATTGAACTTACCTCAGTAATGCCAATTGAATCAATAATCCTCATATATTGCAATAACTTATCTGTATCTGATCTCGTCGATGACCTCTAACTTTTCCACCTAAAATAGACATAATTAGTTTTTACTTGCAAATTTAACATATATAAATAATAAAAAATAATATATTGATAAATATATGTACCTCAATGCTAATGAAAAAAAATGAGAGGATGATTGTGCCTAGTGGCTAACTGAGGTATTCTATACCATGCCCAAGATTGTAAAAGAGGCAAACAACCTGCAATTTCAGTAATATTATATTTCACCGCATGACAAAGCTCACGATAAAGGGATGCTAGAATAACAAAACCTCAACTATAGTTTGAAATCTCAGTAAAATCAGTTAAAAGAGGTAGTCACTTCGTATGAACCCTAAATCATGATTTATCTGGAAACAATACCTACCAAATATCACCATTATGTACGTTCTAGTGTAACGGATAATAGTCTGTCCATCAGCATTGTAAGATAATGCTCCAAATATATCTATGAACCACTATAAATTTACATAAAATTATTTTTTATTACTCTCATCATGAACTACATCAAGTAAATCTTTACACAATATTCATATATTTCAATCATAAAATTTCTCCCACACTCCAATGTAACCACTCACAGGGACCCCATCTACATGTAAGCCTAACTTAAACATAACATCCTCCAAAGTGATCATACATTCTCCATATGGAAGATGAAATGTGTGTGACTTAGGTCTCTAACATTCTACAAGTGTACTTATGAGTGTCTTATCATAATCAAATACTGGGACCATCTGTGCAACATTCCAAAAACCAGTCTCCCTAAGAAATGGTTCTATTCTTGAATTTGAAACGACCATTATATTATAACGTTTACTTTTTAAAATACGAGATTCTTATATAATAACAAAATAATATATACAAAATTATTATAAATTATAAATTACTACAACATAAAACTAATTTATTATAATAATTAAAAATATATAATAGAATTTTAATTTACATTCCTTAGTATAATGGTTATAATTATAACAAATAATTAAATTTAATTTACAATGTAATAATTATTTACACATCTTTCTAAATAATAATTACACAATCAATAATACATTAAATTAAATACAAAAATAATTAATTATAATTTAACTAAATATATTTAAAAATTAATTTACCTGTGTGTTAAGTTTGCTTGCAATATGATCAACTAAATTAAGCCGATATAGATTGTTATCCATTTTCGTTCGCTGTATCTGCTTTTCTCCTATCTCACTTTCTCTAGTCTCTGTTCTCTATGGTGGTAAGAGGTTGAATGATATATATGAAATAGTCGATTATACTCGTCCCCAGAATCACACTAAAGTCGATTTTAATTGAATTCCCTTTACCATGCAAGTCGATTATAATCGACATACTTCTAGGGAACCAGAAGTAATTTATCATAATAATTAAAAATATATAATAGAATTTTAATTTACATTCCTTAGTATAATAATTATAATTATAACAAACAATTTAATTTAATTTACAATATAATAATTATTTACATATCTTTCTAAATAATAATTACACAATCAATAATACATTAAATTAAATATAAAAATAACTAATTATAATTTAACTAAATATATTTAAAAATTAATTTACCTATGTGTTAGGTTTACTTGCAATATGATCAATAAAATTAAGCCGATATAGATCGTTATCTATTTTTGTCCACTGTATCTGCTTTTCTTTGATCTCAGTTTCTCTAGTATCTGTTTTTTGTGGTGGTAAGAGGTTGAACGATATATATGAAGTAGTCGATTATACTCGTCTCTAGAATCACACTGAAGTCGATTATAATCAACATATTTCTAAGAAAATAAAAATCAACAAATGGAAGTCGATTTAAATCAACTTCTTTGAAGCATGAAAGTCGACTATAATCGTTTTCTTTGCAACAAAAAAGTAAACTTTAATCGACCTTAATATATTAGATTTAGGACATTTATATATAATTTTTTTTTTGAAGACACATGCATAATTTTATATTTAAAATATTTTATTTATGTAAAAAAGCCCAATGATTGTATTACTGTAATTTTATCTCACATAATTTTGCATGTAACCTTTTCATCTAATAACTACTTTAAAAAATCATGCAAAATGCAGAAGTTTATTTCATAAGAATTATATGCTAAGATATTATTTTTCTAAATGAAAAAGTCTTAGAAATTACTAACTATAGTTGTCATAAATTTGGTCTTAGTGTTCACGTAAGATTTACTTGAGTAACTTTTAAATGCTAAATTCTTACCAAAGATAAAAATAAATTAACTTATAAATTTATTTTCACTTGAATAAAATCTAATTTGTCGGACTATTAATATAGTAAAAAAATTTACTATATATAATACCATATAGTTTCATGATTCATAGTTGATGGCGCCTTTCTCATATTACTTGGAATAAAATGTCGCACGATAATAAACTTTGAAGGGTGGGAAAAAATATAATATTTTAGTAAAATAAATCTTCACAAATAACTGTACTCTTACAATATATGCACATAAATTTTTTTGGTCAAAAGCAAGTTCAAGAATAAAAATAGATCACTATAAAAATAATTGAATTTTTTTAAAATAGATAATAATTAACTTTCTGATATAAACACTATAAGAACTACAAGAATTTAGTGTCGATTCATTAATTGATGGTTATCAATAATCGTTAAAAAATAACATTTAGCATCAATTTTAACAACTATTAATAGAAATAAATGGTTTAACATTAATTTGAGATAACTATTAATAAAAATAAAAAATTTAACGTTAATTTAATATAAATGTAGACAAAAATATAAAATTTAATGTCAATTTTATGTAATTGTTGGAAAATATAATAATTTAAACGTTTCCAACACTTGATAGATCTGAGATCAGTGATCAAGGTAATGACATCACTCGAAATAGATGCTTTGTTTATTTTAGATATATAACGATTCTTAAGGCTTAAAATCTCTAGTTAAATTTTTTCTGTCTTTGTCTCTCTGGTTTAACATAGTTTAGTGATTTCTCTCTCCAATTGACAGGCTTTCAACTTCTTTTTTGGGACTATCATTCATCTGCGAGTCTTCACTACCAAAATCTAAGCAAGGAACCATCACTTGAGTATTAAAATTTTCAACAATCATTTGATTCCATTGAGGATGAACTTCATAAGAGTCTGGAGTGAAACCAGACTCATCTTCCACTTTTGGGGAGAAACTAATAGTTATAGATTGAAATTTAATATTTGTTACGTATTTAATTTCTAATATTTAAATTTCAAAATTTAGAATTATTACTAAATAATTACTGCAAGGTTTGTATCATGGTTTTCTTTTAGAAAGAACAATTAGAGACAAATAAAACTGTTATTAATTGTAAATTTTTTAACTGCCATTAATAAGTGATTTTTTTTGGCAATGAAATAAACTAATTACCATGTATATATCACTAAATAAACTTATGTTTAAAGTCATTTAGCATAATAAGTTTTGCATGGCTATAATTGCATTTACAAGATATTTTCCAACAAAATTTAGAAGCCAAACGGTTCTCACTTTTCTGAGTGAAATAGCTCAACAGCAATAGAAAATAAATTTGAAAAAAAAATATAAAAACATGTCAAGTAGAAAAGTATGTTGTGTGTATAGATAGTATTCACCGCATGAATTCATTCTTAATTTTACGTAAAAACATCAATCATGCTAAGACTCATGACACAACATTTTCATTCAAATATTTTCTTATTCTTTTCTATAGCCATTGCACGAGCCAATTGTGGTAGAATCCATCACTGTCACCAGAGAACCATCACTATACCTGCAACAGTTCCTTCGCATGATGTTGAAACCAGATCTAAAGTGCCATTGCTTGTTCTCGACCTCTTCAGCTAAGGTCGACGTGCAAGACTTTTCTACTTCAAACGGATTAATAGTAGCTGCCAATAAATTCAGTGTCCCAGAAAATTCTTTAAGACATTGAAATGGATACAAATATATTCAGTGCCATAGAAAATTCTTCAAATTATTGTAGAAATTAATAGAAACTGATAACTTGAGGCATGTGACAACAATGTCCTCAAAGAATATTCCTAGCACATAATTTATTTTAATAATGTGAAAAATCTCTGATACAATTAGCTCTTTTGGGAAGAACACAAATGATGAGAACAGATAGAAAATGTAATTTCTTAAACCAATGTAATAAAGATAGCGGATAGTAGATGAGGGAGAAAATGTGTGTTACTAGACTAGAGAGGAATGATATATACTGCTTCGAAGAAGAAGGAATATTTACCTATTATATTAAATAAGGTTTAACTAAGTAAAACTAGTAGATTAAAATATCCCATAAAAGAAAAAAATTAGACTAAGTAAAAAATTTCTATTATTTTAAAATATTTTATCTACATAGAGTCATGCCACTCTTCTTTCTATCATCGCCCCTCACACATACCATAAAAC